TAAGCACTGTTTTTACTCCTGTCTCAGATGGTACAGATGAAGAAGCAAGGTGGTAGAGATTATAGATACACTAATTTATCCAAAGTAATTTATCCAAGTCTGTGACATAATAGTTTGATTGCTGCAATGTGTTTTTAAAGAAGTTTATGTAATCTTTTTATTTTTTTAAAATATGTTTTTATTGATTTCAGAGAGGAAGGGAGAGGGAGAGAGAGAAACATCAATTATGAGAGAGAATCATCAATCTGCTGCCTCCTGCACAGCCCCTACTGGGGTTCTAGCCCATAACCCAGGCATGTGCCCTGACCAGAAATCGATCCCATGGCCTTTTGGTTCATGGGTTGATGCTCAACCACTGAGCTGCACTGGCCAGGCTATGTAATCTTTTTCTGATCATCGTTACTATGAATTAGTTGTTTTTTAAAAATATATTTTTATTGATTTCAGAGAGGAAGGGAGAGAGAAAGTGAGATAGAAATATCAACAATGAGAGAGAATCATCAACTGGCTGCCTTCTGCACACCCCCTACTAGGGATCGAGTCCGCAACCTGGGCATATACCCCGACTGGAATCGAACCCTGGCCTTCTGGTTTATAGGTCATTGCTCAACTACCTGAGCCACACATACCAGGCTGCGAATTAGTTTTTAACATAGGCTAAGTCTCTTACTTTCCAAAAAGAGAAATAAATGCCCTACATAAGTAAAGCAATGTGATAAAAAGGATGTAATATAAAAGTTGATGTCTTTTAAGTGTGATATAATGAAACCCTGCAACAAAATGTGCTCTGCTGATTATATTAATTTAATCATTGACTCCTTTGACTTCTTACCTTCATAGTAAACCATTTGTCAGTTCATCAACCTCTCAATGCAACTGTGTTTTACTTATTGAATGTTTTGGACTTCATTTAATGTATTTTGTTGGGTTTTAACTTTATTACTTCATATGAGTTTAAAGTAATCCATGTAGGCTGTGCATTATAAAACTCCAGAGGGCACTGCTCACATAGACTTGCAACCCTGTAGCCATCTATTGAGAAGCTTCGATAAATCTAAATATAATTGGGTGGGGGGTGCAACACATTGAAGTTTAACATGATGAATGACTTGTATTAGCACAATTTTTCTTTTATTTGCTACCTGTTTTCTGAAAACAAACCCAGAGGCTAAAATTTGTTTTATTGTCTTTGCAGGCGAGGAATTGCCTTAGCCTCCTTAGGAGGCCCAATTTATGCAATTGGAGGGCTAGATGACAACACTTGCTTCAACTACGTGGAGAGATATGACATAGAATGTGATCAATGGAGTACAGTGGCACCAATGATTACTCCCCGTGGAGGAGTTGGCTCTGTGGCTCTAGTAGTAAGTTATATGGCAACTTGCTCATTGGACTGCATTGCATCATATCCCTAACCAAATAAGGAATGATCTGGGATATTCATATCTTCAGTATGCACATATTGATCATACACCATATTATTTCATGAAATGCTGCTTTCTTTCAAGATTCTGATTTACCATTAGGATAATGTATAAATCAGTTAGAAAACTAATGTGATATGTTTTTTATTTTCTCTTTACGTAGAACCATGTTTATGCAGTAGGTGGCAATGACGGAGTAGCTTCTCTATCTAGTGTGGAGAGGTATGATCCACATCTGGATAAGTGGATAGAACTTAAAGAGATGGGTCAACGAAGAGCAGGCAATGGAGTCAGTGATCTCCATGGTTGTTTATATGTTGTTGGTGAGTGGATAGTATTTCTCTGGTCTAATTTATTACAGGCTATACAATAATCTTGTGTGTGTGTGTGTGTGTGTATGTATAATATGCAAATAAACTGGGCAGCAGAACAACCAGTCACTATGATGCACACTGACCACCAGGGGGCAAATGCTCAACACAGGACTGCCCCCAGCCTTCAGACCCCGCACCCGATGGGAGCCAGCAGGCCAACCTCTCAGTCCCTCCCCTTGGCTGGCAGGCTCCAATCATCTGATGGGGAATGGGGAACCAGGGGTGGGTGGCGGTGGATGTGGGCAGCGCCAGGCCAAGGCGGGTGCAAGCGAGTGGGGCCCTGATCGCCCCACACACAGAGGGCAACTGGCATCAGCGGCAGGAGGCAGGGCCAGCTGCCAGCAGCAGGGGAAAATGGGCCCTGATCGCAGGCCAGGCCTAAGGACCCTACCCATGCACAAATTTCATGCGCCAGGCCTCGTGTGTGTGTGTGTGTGTGTGTGTGTGTGTGTGTGTGTGTGAGAGAGAATATATATCTGATATGCAAAGTGTCCCCTCGGGAGTTTGACTGGGAGACTGGGAGTTCAATCACTCGCTATGATGTGTGCTGACCACCAGGGGGTGGCACGGAACAAAGGAAGGCCCCCGCCAGCAGCTGGAAGGCCCCGATTGGCTCTGATTGCCAGCCAGGCCTAGGGACCCTATCCATGCATGAATTTCATGAACTGGGCGTCTAGTAGTGTTATAAAACAACATAACACAAATTATTTGCATTTAGGTTCAAGTGGAATCAGTCCTAAGGTTTACTTTTGAATTCTTAGGGTTCACATTCATGCTTTGTTGTCTACATCTTCCTCGTTCATGTTTAAAACTTCTAACTTAATATTTTTACTAGGAGTAGCAAGTATATCTAAAGTAAGAAGTTACATTTAAATAAGATATATATTTTTTTCATCTAATGACACAAATTGAATGAATGTGCTTTGCAAAAATCTTTAAAGATCTAAGACATGTTTTCTCATCCCAAGGGAATTATGTTGACTAAGCAAACCAATAGTTATTTCATATGCATAATAGGTATTGGCTTCTTCTTAATTGCTTTTTGACTTACTGAATTGTAGAGTTGGAAGGAACCACAGGACAGTGCTTTCTCAAACTTTAATATGCATGTGAATAGTATGGAGATATTGTTAGACTGCAAAGGAGGGGCCCAGATTCTGTATTTCTGACAGTTCCCAAGTGATAATTGATGCTACTTCTGGTCTACTCCCTTCCAGTACTAAGGTTTTAAAGGGCCAAGAGATGGGAGTAATAATGCCTATCTTTTAGAATTCTTTTTAAGAATTAGAGGCAATATATATTAAACATCTCAAATCTGGTACTTTGTAGTTACCCAATAAATAGGTGGCTATATTAGGATTAGTAAACCCTTCCTCTACAGAGGAAGAAAAGAGTTCAGAGAGCTAGTCACTGCATGCATCATTGCATCCTCTTTTCCTCTGCTTTGAAATTTTTATTTTAAAATATATATTTTTATTTATTTCAGAGAGGAAGGAAGAGGGAGAGAGAGATAGAAACATCATTGCTGAGAGCAAACAATTGATCTGCCTCCTGCATGCCCCCCTACTGGGGATGGAGCCCGCAACCCGGGCATGTATCCTCACTAGGAATCAAACCCAGGACCTCTTGGTCCAAGGGTCAATGCTCAATCCACTGAGATACACCAGTTGGGCGAGACACATTTATTTTTAAGGAAAGAGCACTGTTAAAATAACAGTCTTCGTCTAACCCTCAGAAACATTATAAGTAATATTGTCAGAATGATCTGTAGCAAACATGCCAAACTCAAAAGCTAACACAGGCCAAATAAATGAGGCATGCGGCCCGTGGGTTGTGAGTTTGACATGCTTGACCTAGAGTATGTAGCATGAAGATGTAGTTTGGGCAAAAACTGGTAAGAATTCATTCATAGTTTACCATCTCTAATTATTATGGCAATTATGGTATTAAGTAGTTGGAAAACTTTAACTTATATCTAAATGAGTCAAATGACTTAGTATAGTTTATTCTCTTCTCAAGCCCTGTTACTATTCAAAATATAATGCACATGTGTACACACAGAAGGGAATCCCGGTGCTGTCTTGCTTGCCCCTAGGAAGCTAAGGGAAAATTATATAAATGTATGTGTTTTTTTGCTTTTATGTTCTCTGCTTAGATACAGGGACTCCAGTTTTTCTTACTTTAAGATTTTCAATCCTAGTATTAAGGTAAAATACAATTTCATTTATCATGAATTATAGAAAATATGTCTTAACAGAAGTTGGGAGTGGTAATAGATTTTGAGATGAATTTTTTTCTGATTTTCTCTGTTTCCTAAAATGTTTTTAAAAGATTTGTTTTGTAGAAGCTATTGAATTAAGACTTAGCAGTAATTTCTATGAAATTTAATGCTTTTAAAATTTTTTCCTTCATATAGGTGGTTTTGATGATAATTCTCCTCTGAGTTCGGTTGAGCGGTATGACCCTCGAAGCAACAAGTGGGATTATGTAGCAGCACTTACCACTCCCAGGGGTGGAGTGGGGATCGCAACAGTGATGGGCAAAATCTTTGCAGTTGGTGGTCATAATGGCAATGCATACTTAAATACAGTGGAAGCATTTGATCCAGTGCTGAATAGGTAACTTTGTTTTCTCTACACTTTAATGGGATCTTCCAGTAACTGATTACTTCATGGTGCTAAAATGCTGCCACATGGGGTTAATATAAAGCATTTGGGATATCTTGTCTCCCTTAGGAAGCTTGGTGTCTTTCAAAACCAGTCCCATGATAGGCAGTTTTGAATAAAGTAAATCATGCTTTCTTTTAAGATAACATTCTTTCGCCCTAACCAGTTTGGCTCCGTGGATAGAGCATTGACCTGCGGACTGAAGGATCCCAGGTTCAGTTCTAGTCAAGGGAACATGCCTGGGTTGTGGGCTCGATCCCAAGTGGGGGGCGCGCAGGAGGCAGCCAATCAATGATTCTCTGTCATCATTGATGCTTCTATCTCTCTCTCTTTCTTTCTTCCTCTCTAAAATCAATAAAAATGTATTTTTTTAAAAAAAAATAACATTCTTTCTCCTCTCTCATTTCAGGTGGGAGCTTGTTGGATCTGTGTCTCATTGCAGAGCTGGAGCAGGTGTAGCTGTGTGTGCTTGTTTAACTAGCCAAATTCGAGATGTAGGTCATGGATCCAATAATGATCCAATAATGTGGTTGACTGCATGTGATTTGAGTTCCAGTCATCAGCAATTTCATCATATCTGATAGTCAGGAAAAATGACCAGGATTTTGTATGACCCTCTTTGAATAGTTTTAACTACTGCTAGAGTCTTAATGAAATGTAAACTGTTGTATTGTGACGAAGTGCAACTTTTGGGATAGTAGCTAAAGAATTATTAGTAATAACGTTAAATTTGATACTTCCCACTCTAGCAAATAATTGAGCAGGGAAGAAAGACATTCTAACCTGAAACCATACCTTCCCTGAAAAATGTTTAAAGTAGTGCCAAATGTTGAAATCCCTATTTAAAAAAGTGTGGACAAATCAAAATGTAAGTCATTTGCTGAGTTTTACTTTTTTTTTTTTTTTTTGGCCTAAAGGTATTAACCTTAGGCAGTGGGCTTTTCCTAGAGGGGAGATTAGACTCTGTTCATCAACACCAGGACATCAGGACACGGAAGAGACCTTTTTTTTTTTTAATTCTTTATTAGTTAAGATATTACAAATGTGTCCTTATCCCCCCATTAACTCCCCCCCACACACACTCATGTTCTCATCCCCCTGTTGTCCATGTCCCTTGGTTTGGCTTATATGCATGCATACAAGTCCTGGAAGAGACCTTTTGAAGAGCAGTTCTACTCGGTGCTGATGAATTTATGCCTTGCTTTTTTCTGGGTGTTGATTCCTCAATTTTTTTGAATATTTACAGAAGTAGAAACAAATGTTTGATCTCTGCATGCCACTTGGCTCAAAGCTTATAGGAGTATTGTAAGATCTTAATTTCAGTTTGAATTGTTAGGACACCAAAGACCTAGTGAATTGATTCCATCTGAATGAATGTATACTTTTATTTTTTCATCTCATACAAAAAAAGAAATTTCTTCATAATAAGCAAAAATTGAACCAGAGTAAATACTAGAGGAAGGCTTTTGAGTTGATGTTATTCTAGTGCCCAGTCAATAACCTTAAGAAAGAATGGCACCGCTATGTGACTCCCCAATGAGGGAGCCTGAGAATATGTTCAACACTCTTTTTTGATTTAATCATTTGATTTTGAACTTTCTATTTTGCTATTTGCCACCATCCTGGTGTTTGTAACTGTACAGAATCTGGATTAATTTATTATCAGAAAATGAATGCATTTTTATATATATCCTATATAGACAGTAGTTAACTGATTAGTTCAAGTCCATCATTACCAATAAAAGATATTGTTGGTTAAAAACAGAGAAAGATTGAAACTACATTTTTTTTCTGTTTTATTTAATCCCCTTCGGTATATTTATTTAACTTTAATTGGAAATATTTCTGTACATTAATTTGAGCCAGGATATTCTTACACCTACTAATTTAACAGGTCTTCATGGTTTAAACCAGAATTGTAAAATGGCCTATTCATTATATGTATATACTTTTATAAATATATATGAGGAATATTTTTTATTTGAATGCAATTTGGTACTTTTCTTCTAGGATCTCCTAAAGTCATGCCTTAGAATTCAGTATAATTCACTGCTGATCAGTCATCTGGTTCACAAGGAAGCAGGACAGTAAGAACCCTAACCTCATCTAGCCAGCCCTGAAGTTCATTGCCTAGTAGCTCTGTCGGTCCTCATTAAAAGGCAACCTGGCCCTAGCTGGTTAGAGTGTCCGCCTGCAGACCAAAGGGTCACGGGTTCAATTCCTGGTCAAGGGCACATATCTGGGTTATGGGTTTGCTCCCCAGCCCTGGTTGATGTGTCTCTCTCACTTTGATGCTTCTCTCTCTCTCTACCCTCCCCCCTCCCCCATCCTTTTTACTCTCTCTGAAAAATCAATGGAAAAATGTCTTTGGGTGAAGATTTTAAAAAAATGGCAACCTGGGCTTGTCAGTGCAGTAGATCAAAAAGCCACATAACAAAGCCATTGCCTATTGGGTATAATGAACGCCCCCCCCCCCCAAAAAAAAGAAAAAATTGTAAGAGGACACAGGCTAGCAGAAGAAGTCTTTCATGAAGCAGATTTAAAAGTTCCCAAATTATTCTGTTTTTTCCTATCAGTCTATGGGCAAGTTCACATGTCATTGCTGGATCTGAACCAGTGTTCTCTTATACAACTACTAGAGGCCCGGTGCACGAATTCGTGCACGGGTGGGGTTCCTCGGCCAGGCAGCTGGCGATCAGGGCCGTCTTGCCCAGTCAGGATCGCCAGGTGGCCAGGGAGAGGGACCGTGGGAGGTTGGCCAGCCTGGGCCATAGGAGGTTGGCTGTGGGAGCACACTGACCACCAGGGAGCAGCTCCTGCATTGAGCTTCTGCCCCCTGATGTTCAGTGCATATCATAGTGACCGGTCATAACGGTCACTTAAGCTTTTATATATAGAGATAACCATATTTCATTCAGTCCCCCAAATGTTGAACTCTACAGCACTTACTATCTCAAAACCTGACTTCCACAGCATTTCTCATATAATGGTGTTCTTGTAGTTCTTGTAGTTGGTTTTGTGGATTGTCTAGCTATGGTTACTGGTATGTTGGTTTTGTTTATTTTGTGGTGAAGGGGATTTGATCTTATTCCTAAGATTATTTCAAATGTTTTTTTCTCGAACAATTCTACCTTTGTCATATGTTTAGAGAATAAGGAACACAAAGATGTTACATTTCCAATTCTGTTTTTTATTAAACAGTAGTCACCTAACATACTAAGTTGGTACCCCAGCTAACCATAAAATATGAACTATTCATGAGAGAAGTCAGGTGAAGTGCGGGGGACATGTGGCTGTCTGTTCCATTGTGTGTGGCAGTCAGCATAGCCTTGAAGGACCTGACCATTGTACGAAAAAATAAATAGTGGAATCAACATACACAGTCTCTTTAATTAAACACAAATCTTTGAGATATGAAGTGAGGACCAGGCTGAAGGAATCATGGAGTTGAAAGATGATTATATTCATAGGTATAAAGAGATGAAATATTCAAAGGTGACTCCTTAATTATGAGGCCTGTTACTTTAACCTCAGATGTTAATAGCGCCTACCAAAAAGTGATATAAAATAGAGCTAAATTTTGAAATTGTAAATGGAAAACAGTGAAAATTTGCATATTATTTCTTCAAGATATGTTTCTAGTCATTAAAACCACTGCTTTACTATATTGCACTGCCACTTTAAGAACAAATTACTTGATATTGTTTTTGACTAAATTCACTCTATTCTGTGTAACTATTTTTTAAATGTTTGAATAAATTTTGTATTCCCTCTAAGGAGTATTATTCATTGTTTTAGTTCCCAAATGTATTTTGAACGTAAAATGCTGTTAAATGCTTAGTAAAGAGATGGTTGAAGCTGCATAAACTACTTTTACAAATGGTAAATGTGAAAATTTTTTTTTGTTCTTTTGTTTGCTATTTGTTATATGGTAGAGAATGCATTTAGAATCTAATTCATGTATTATCAGTTAAGAATGTTTTCTGTGATTTCTCATCAGACTTTTAAATAATTATTATTGGGATGTCACTGGCTCTGTCTCTTTTTTCCCCCTTTATGTGGAGTTGTGAGTGGCAATAAAACTTATAAGCTCTGGCCAGTGTGGCTCAGTGTTAAGAGTGCCGGTCCATGTACAAAAGGGTCTTGGGTTCGATTTCCAGTCAAGGGCCCATACTTGGGTTTCAGGTTCAATCCTCGGCCCCGGTCATGGTGAATGCAAGAGACAACCAATCGATATGTCTCTCACATCGATATCTATCTCTCTCTGTCTCTTTATCTCTCCCCCACCCTCACTCCCTTCCATTCTCTCTAAAAATCAATAGAAAAAAATATCCTTGGGTGAGGATTAACAGAAAAAAACCTTCAATTTAGTATTTTCTTAAAACCATATAAAAATTTGTGTGGCAATACTCCAGAGCAAATAAAAATAATAAATTATATACACTATAAAGTAGTGAGATAAAACAGTTGGAGTCATATCAGTGTTATTTATGGATTAAATATATTGCATGTATCTATTATGAATATAACTTTCTATAAGGTCGATATAACTTTGCTTCTCATTGTTTGATTCCTTTTATAGAATCTTATAAAAAACTAGAGGCCCAGTACACAAAATTTGTGCACTGGGGGGTGGAGGTCCCTCAGCCCAGCCTGCACCCCCTCAGGGGAATGTCCACCTGCTGGCTTAGGTCTAATCCCCCTCAGGCCTAGGCCAGCAGTCAGACATCCCTCTTGCAGTCCAGGGCTCTCGCAGTCCAGGACCCACCGCTCCTTACCACCTGCCTGCAGCGGAGGTGGGAGAGGCTCCCGCCACCGCCGCTGCGCTCGCCAGCTGGAGCCTGGCTTCTGGTTAAGCAGTGCTCCCCCTGTGGGAGTGCACTGACCACCAGGGGGTAGCTCCCGTGTTGAGCGTCTGCCCCCTGGTGGTTAGTGTGTGTCATAGCGATTGGTCATTCCGCCGTCCAGTCAATTTGCATATTAGGGTTTTACTACATAGGATGGTGTAATTATTCTCCATCTCTCAAATACAAATCAATTTAGTAGGTTGGCTGTAATATTTTTCTCATAAAAAGGACCTCTCTGTTTAACTGAAAATAGGAAGATTTTTGTTACCCTTAGAAAAGTTTAAGGTAACTGATGTAAGTGGTTTCACTAACCCTAATGACTGATTAAGCAATTCTCTCCACAGTTGCAGACTTGTACTATATAGAAATGAGATTCTTTATGTATTAAGATAATGTTGCCCTTCTGACTAGTAACCTTGTGAAGCTATAATTTTGTTGCTTTGTTTTGTTTTGTTTTTTAGCTATGTGCCATTGCTAAAAACTTTTCTGAAACTCCTCTTTGAAAAAATAGCCTGAAGAGTCCATTCGTAAGTCATCTAAGAGAACTGGTCTCATGATAGTCCTATGTTAATTTTGAGCAGGGTTTTAACTTGATTATTGCTATGTGTACTTTATTTATCAGACTTGGTTCAAAATATTTTATGCTTATCACAGGTGAAATCTATCCTCAAAGAATGTTTTCCTCCCCTGGGAAAAATTATCTTTTTAAACAGTTTTAGTGGAAGATTACTAAAATTACCCTGAGCGATAGAAACTTCAAAGAAGGAAGTATATAGCTTCTTTGAGGGGAAACCTTATTTGAATGTAAAAATTCTGGTGGTTTTTGTTGAGTGTCTTAGTGATTTTTTAACAAATCACTGTACCATTATCTTAATGGTTGAGCCTAAATTCACTCTACTTGAACAAATCTTTAGAATATAAGGGATTACTAAAAATAAAAGAAGAATATGAGATTTCTTACACTTAAATAATAGTCATGGGAAGTATTAATAAGTATAATTTTTAAGTGTGTAGTCTGTACCAGTCTCTTTATAATGTTTTAAATATTATAACGTTACTTAATCTCACAATAATTCAATTTATGGCTAAAAATATGTTTTTAGTGATTTTTAGAGAGAGGGATAGAAAGATAGAAACATTGATGAGAGAGATTCAGCTGTCTCCTGCACGCCCCCTACTGGGGGGTCAAGACCACAACCCAGGTATGTGCTCTGACTGGGAATTGAACCGGTGACCTCTTGGTTCCTAGGTCGATGCTCAACCACTGAGCCATACCAGCCGAGGACCAACTACCCCTTTTTTCACAATGTAGTATATATATACATTTAAGGGAAGATGACTTTCTTTTTCACAGTTTCTTTGTTTTCACAGTTTCTTCTTAGCAGTATAAAAGTATTTCTGGTCACTGTATTCTTTTTTTGGTCACTTTTATTGAGATGTTAGTGATATATAACATTATATTAGTTTCAGGTATATTGTGAAGTGATCACAGCAATAAGTCTAATTAAACCTCCATCACCACCCATAGCAACCTTCAAACATATAATGTATTATTAACTAGTCCCAGTGCTGTACATTTTACTTCTTTCACCCATTTCACCCCCTCCCTACATCTGCCTCTGGTAGCCACTGTCATTGTCTTTCTATATGTATATTTGGTACATATATAAAAATACATGCAACATGGAAGTTATCAAGTATACTAAAAAACCCCTATATACCCATTCCCTAAGTGAGAGAACATTTCTTTTAGGATTGACACTACATTAAGTGTTCCTTCTCAATTCCAATTCCCAGCCTACCCTTCTCCCTGAGAGGTAAATATCCCGAATCAATCATTCCTTTGCATTTTCCTTTTGTTTTTGTACATATATCCCTACGCAGCCTAATGTTTACTTTTGTTGGTGAGCTTTTTAAAAGATAGTATACCGTTATATAGTCTTATATAATCTGATCTTTTCATTCAACAAATTCACTTTTGTAACCCCCATCCCTCAATTGTATTAGTCTCTCTTTATTCTTTGGAAATCTCTCCCAGTTAACTACTTCCATTTGTAGGTGATGGAATGTCCAAAGAATCCACTTCGAATGTTGGCTCCGCTTGGAGCATGGTCTTTTCCTTCACTTCAACCCAGAATT